TAAGACTTGTTCTCCAGACCCCTCACCAGCCTCGTTGCCCTTCTCTGGACACACTCCAGCACCTCGATGTCCTTCTTGTAGTGAGGGGCCCAAAACTGAACACAGTATTCGAGGTGCGGCCTCACCAGTGCCGAGTACAGGGGCACGATCACTCCCCTACTCCTGCTGGCCACACTATTTCTGATCCAGGCCAGGATGCCATTGGCCTTCTTGGCCGCCTGGGCACACTGCCGGCTCATGTTCAGCTGGCTGTCGCACAAAACCCACAGGTCCTTTTCCGACAGCTTTATTACTGTTTGAAATGGGAAACACTGAATTGAAATTAAAATCAAATCAACCAACCAACCTGCAACACTGAAAGCACTGAGGCAGTTTCTCTGAAAGAATCTTAACATGAAAGCATCAGTTTACTTGGTGAGTTTACATGGGTCTTGCATGTGAGTACAGTGACATGCAACTCCTGTATAAAAACAATGTAATTGTACTTTTAATTTTATTATTTGAAACCCTGTAATTTGCAATTATTTTTTCCTCCATACTGATAAAGCTAAAAAGACAAAAAACAAAGTCATTTCTGTTGGATCTGCAGATACAAAGAAAAGGTATTCTACTCTCATACTTACTTTTGAATCATATGCTGACTGCTGAATAACTTCAGGGGCCATCCAAAATGGAGTTCCAACAAAGGTATTCCTCTTAATTTGTGTGTCTGTCAGCTGCCCAGCAACTCCAAAATCAGCAAGCTTAACATCGCCTTGTTCTGATAACAAGACATTGGCAGCTGCCAAGGGGAAATAATATAATATCTGATTTAGAATACTGCTCTTATGAATTTTAAGGGCTTTAACAACATAACGTTTAAAATGTTACGCACCTTTTATATCCCTGTGAATTTTCTTCTCTGAGTGTAGGTAGTCAAGACCTTTCAAGATTTCCTTTAGCATGGTAGCAATCTGGAACTCATCAAATGGGCCAGCACGCAGCTTTAGAGAAAAGACACATTAAAATAATTTTAGTCTTGTGTCTGATTTTTGCCTTGTTATTGATTTAATTAAATCTTAAACTTGAAAGATTTTTTTTAAAGTAAAGAACTAACAGAATTCATAAGATATTCAATGAAGTATGTTAACATTATATCAGAAATAGGTGCCATTGGAATAGTCATCTTCACATCTCCTCTACTGATAATACATTGAAAATGCTGTTACTGTGGGCACTCCCCACAGCACACAGTGCACATGAAAAGCTAGAACTAACTTTCCACAGAGTTATAGTTTCCTATAGACAGCAAACACAGCAGACTGAATTTTGCATTTTAGATTAAGTGAATTAAGAAACTCAGTTTATTTCAAGATAAATTAGTCTATTGACTGTTGTTTTTAAATTTATGATGCATTTTTTTCTTGTTCTAGCATTTTTGATTCCATGCTTGCTTTTGCATCAGGAACATAACGTGCTACTATAAAGCTGCTAGTATGGAATAAGTGTAAACTTTGCACATTAGAAAGATATGTAAATAATTAAGGTGGGTGATTCTGCTATAAAAAAATACTAACAACACAGCACTGAAACAGAGAATACCATGAAATTATGGTATGGCAAAGCGAGGCAAACTTAGTTTTCTTCTTCTAAAGGTTCAGTGGTTTCAGCTGTCACTAGTAAAACTACTTCACTATTTCTGACACTACAGAAGACTATCAATTACTCAAAAGTGTTAAAGAGTAAGTATCTCACAGCCCCTTTCTCAAAAAGACTAAGTTCCACAACTACGAACTACTACATGCTACACATAATTACTATGCTTTTGCATTCCCGTAGCTGAGTTGATGTGATGTAATTTCATAAAGAAGTTTAAATAGATTTGTGAAGTTAAGCATATACTTCAACTCTTGCAGGCAGGACCACTGTTAGCAAATACAATAATATATATATATTGCTATATAATTAACACCATTCTGTAATAATGAAGACATGATATTTTTCCTTCAGAATCACACAAACAAAGACTGAGTTGTACTATCTTACAGGAAAGGGTGGGTCTAAGCTTTACAGCTGAGACAGAGCTGTACTGAAAGTATAGGGAAACCACATCCACACACAGTGGACTGTGCTCTTGTACTCGCTAAGCTACATCCTTCATGAATGCTACACTATCTTAAGTAAAAGGCACTTTCATGCTTAACTGAAAACACCTAAAATGGAAAACCCAACACCTTTTAACCAGTTAAAATTAACTGTACTCTGTGGGCACACACTTCATTCATTCCTGAGACGCAATCTCAAAGGAAACATTTTTTACTGAAGTGTAATGAATATTCCACTTGTGGGGGGGATGACACGTAGGGGACAGATGACCCAAAAACCCACCACATATGGCAAGAACAGTACTTCTCCTCATACTAAAATAAAAAAATTGCCTTACATTTGACTGAGAACAAATGGATGCTTCCTAATGTTTAGAGACAAACAGGAAAAACAAAACAAAAAAAACCCAACATCAACTCAATGTAACAGAACTACCATTCAAATTCACACTTTTTGGAGCATTACAATATAGCAGTGATGTAGTATCAGCTGCCTCCAGGGACCAGATTTTATAAAGAGACATGAAGGCACAATGAAATAAGGTTCACTAGTACTTATAAAGCAAAAAAATCATACACTTACAAGATCCAAAGCTGACCCTCCACCCAAGTATTCCATTATTATCCATAGTTTTGTGCCCTGTAAAAGAAGGCATGAGTTGTTAGAAATCCAATGCTGCCATAAAAAAAAAATTATATATTTCAACAGACTACCAGCATACTGTTAGAAGAATGCAAATGCAGAGTCCCATTAATCACCAAGTTACATGTAATTACTTCTTGTAGAATGATCACACAGCTCCTGTGCAAGATGTCTAAATATCAATTAAAGTTTGACTTCTGTATTTAAAAAAAGCAACAAACCCCCCACCACCACTCCCCCCACCACTAATCATTTTCCACTAACTGGTATCTAAAATGATTCCACCTAAAGGAATGGAACTTAGAGAAAAAAGTTATTTGGTGGTGGTTTAAGTTTAAACTAAGTGTTTTAATGTAAGATTGTACATTACAAAAGACTGTCTTTGCATCACAATTATTAATTCCAGCCATTTCTGATACAGAAGCATTACAATTTTAACAGGAAACTTTCTTGTAACATCACCACACCTCTCATCTGAGGAAAATACTCAGAACTTAAAATTGCTTTTGAGCGAGAAAGTCAGCATGAACACACTTCAAAAGACAACAGAAATTTAAAGCCTAATGGAGGTAGCCGCTAGGTGCCTCTTCACCTATATGGTAACTGTGCATGTGTGTATCTAACATGTCCACAAGCTCCAATTTAAGTTGTCAGATCCAGCAAAAAGTGAGAATTGGCAGCCCTTGAATATGCTTGTACCTAAGGACTTACATCCTACTACAAAACATGCCTGCTACCATAGGGGCAGCTCCGATTTTGAGATACAAAGCAGCACTAGAACCACCAGCCGGGAGAAATTGCACTGCCAGACCTGGAACCCTACAAAAACGTTCAGGTTTCCAAAGTTTTCAGATCAGAGGTTTGAAATCGGCCATTAAAAGGTCAAAGATAAGAGCAATATAGTTCAGTAAAAATATGACTTAAGGCACGTATCTTAGGATTTTTTTTTTTTTAATTATTTCTAGTTATACTGCAAAGTTCATGTACTCCTTCACTATATGCTATTTGAATCTTAACCCCTGTGAATATGCGAGTTTCTGTGCTTTCTTTGTGGAGATGTCTCAACTACTAGAATACTAGAACTGACAAATTCTTCTAACACGGATTTCTAGATGCTGACTTTGCCCTTGGTATGTAGCTGCAAAAGGTGGCTGGCTCATATAAACAAAATCTGAAAGATTTGGTACCAGATCTACAGACCGTATGTTTCAAAACTGGGATCTTCTGCTATTTGCTTGCCAAAGTCCCCTCACATTTCAGAAGAAACCCAAATATTATTAAATTATAGGCTACTACTCTAAGAAATTCTGCAAATAAAAACATTTATTTATTTAAAATAAAAAACAGTTATTAAAAATACTCAACTGAACCACACCTGGTGAAGTACCATGCATGCTGTTTAAGTCTCCAGCAAATATTTACTAGTGCTAGTTTCTTATAACAGAGCACAAGCTTATAGCAGAAGTACTTTTTAAAGCCTCTTGCATTCTACATTGTATGCTTTCCCACCGTATTGCCTGATTAGCGACAGAAATCTACAGAAAACTCAACAAGCAAATAAAGGTGCAGTTTCTGAAAGTACGACATTCAATTATCTTAACAAAGTGTGCTCTATTAGATTTATACTGAATTTAAAAAACACACCATTTATGAGAGTCTATTCCAATATTATGAGATCAGCAGGGAAGGGCTGGCTAATTTTAGCAGTTTTTATAAAGCCCAACTTTGTCAGCTGAGAAGACCTGCAAGGAACTCCAGTTTAAGGCAAACATTGTGGTTACCAGACATGTTTGGAGGATTTGACTATTACTTGAAAACAGTATAGGGTGAAAATGAGTAAGTACTGTGTTTCTGAAATAATGTCTCAAAGAAATTGCTACTATCCACTGTAACAGGGTGTGGATATTTTCTAGCCAGGCATGAACAACCTTTTTCCTAGCTATTTTAGGTCAACCAAGTATAAATAGACAATGTAGAACAAACAGCATCTTTAGATTGTCCCAAAGGTTTGCTGCATAAGTGCTGTACAATTTTGATGGAAGTCTCTGGATGCTACTGTAGGACTTCTCCATATTCAAAGCTGAAAAACTGAGAATAACTTCAGGCTTGCTTTAACTTCAAAAGAAAAGAGCAAGCCCAGGTAGCTGTAACAGTTACAAGGATAGAGATTTAAACCCCTTGGCTAGATGGCACAAATAGGGAAAACAATAATGAAATTTCAGTCATCAAGAGACGCTCTATCTCTATGGGATCAGATGGAAAGTACAGCTCAAGTATTTTATCAAGCTTCACGAATTTGCGTAACCAAAACATGCCAGTACTAGGGTAACTTTTAATACCTTTCATCTTTTTCTTGCCTGAACTGATAAGGTAGTAATACATTTTGACAAGCCATTAGTCTTGCGGAAAACACTCGTTTTAGATATCTAACGTAACTTACACTGCTGTGTTGCAACGTACTATCGCCTTCAAGGGTACCCTCCACAACCAATGTTTTATTTATTGAGATATGATGTTAATTGCAGTCAAAATGCAATACGAGATGAGGAGACAAATTTAGATCCTGACCTACCACAAATATGAACATCTACAGACATCTACATCAGGATTTAAGTTACCTTACAGCTACAAAAGTTGCATTAATACAGCTGTAAGCTTGTACAATTCTACACGCATTTGTGAAAGACATGATATAAAGGTAAAACATTTTACTACCCTACACAAATGTGTTTATTACAGTGCATTCTTTATGCATGCTTGTACATCACCTACCAGCATGTTTAAAAATTACTACTGATCTTGCCAGATTCCCAATGAAGATTTAAGAAAAAAATTACTAATACCTAAGCTCTAAGATTAATTCAATAGGAAACTCCTATTCAAACTCCAAACTTCAAGATGTAGAGGTACCCCAAATTACAAAGATATGGGGGTTTTGCACCTTTTTGTGTCACAATAACTGAAAACTGGCATCAGCTTTATCCCAAGAACCTCAAGGAAGTAGACCTTGTTATCTTGTACCAATGATGAGGTTTTTAAAGAATAAAATATCTGATAACAGACAAAAAACATTGCACTACTAGGTAAAAATATTAAGGGACTGTCCATATTTTTAAAATCACATTCACAAGTCAGATGTACAAGCTGTAGCTAACGAGCAGCTAGGCTGCAGAAGGTAAGAGTATCTTACATGGCATCAGCTGAGCTGACTATGTTACAAATTAGTAAGTCAAATAATTGAAATAAAGACACTCTTCCCTTCCCCCTTTCAGCAGCAGGAGCATCTGGAAGAGCCTGCATGTAGCTGGTAAGCCCCAGGCTCCCTGAGACTGGGCCACTCTATCGCAGTCAGCCACAAGGCTGGCTTTGCATCCTAAAGTTTCAGGAAACTGTAAAGCTGCAGAATATGTAGAATGGACTGTACAAAAATAAAAACTCTCATCTGAAATGCTTGCAACTAGAAAACCCTCACAGTTAACATCTCTTCTTTCGCATTTTAGTCATAAACAACTTTTAATTATCAAATATGCTATCTTACCAGAGGAAAAACTGAAACCGACTATAAATTGATGACAAGAATGATCTGCTTATTCAACGCTTACTTAAAATTGGTTAAAAAACCCCAAAATAGGTTACAACGAATACGTTCTGTTACAGTTCAATTGGATGAACTGAGGCACACATGAAAAACCTGAAGCCAACACATGGTCTCAGCTGCAGTTTCTTCAAAGTAAAAACTACCAAATTTAAATATTTAAACCAGATCTAGATTACTCATCTAAGAAACATCAGTAAGTGTTGTAGGCAACCTGAATGCCTTTGCACTGAGGGTTTGGCTTTCAGGAAAATACTAAGTCTCTTTGATTTAAACAGTACAAAACTCAAAAACATTTCTAATGCATTCCTAGAGCTTCAGAGAAAGCTACATGTATTATTAATATATTTTAGTAAACTATTTCTATTCCATAAGCATGATCTGAAAGAGGGCAGACTGGCCCAACTGTTTTGTTTTCCTGTAAATAAAGAGGAAAAGGGAAAAAGAAAAAATCTCTTAAATTTTGAAATACCTTCTATTTACTGTATGTTTATGCTCTTTTTAACCACTACCTTAAAAGGTTTTCTAGGAGTATTTTCAGTGATCTTTATATATAAAACTAAGCATTCACTAACAAACCTATGGGACCACTTTGAATGTGATCTTTGTACCAGTCATATCCATAGCAAACCGCTATTAAACTCTGCAGCCTAGGATTTTGCTTTGTAAGAAATAAGATGTCTTAATTTTCAGAATTTAGCCTCAATGCTCTTTAACCTTTAATTATGAAGTAATTTTGTACACAACTGTACCTATTTCACTGTTTCCAAGAGATGTCTACAGTATATAGAGAAATTAAATTGTGAATGAAGTACCTCACAGCTAAATGCTTAGGCTGACAGCCATTCCCAGAGTAACAGCTAATAAAAAGTTAAAAGCTATAGCAATTAAGTAAAAAAAAGACACCTATAACTCTCAAAATACCTGTTATTACTAAAATGAAATGGCAGCATAAAAGATTCTTTGCACATTTAACAAAGCTAATACATGATTCTTTCCCCTGAGGAATCTTAAGCTGAAAGATCTAGTATTAATAACCAAGGATAAATCTAGCCTAAGAAAAATTTAGAGCCAAGATACTACTTCATTTCATTTATTTATTTTTAATTACAGAACTAAAAGTACTAATTTATTTGTGGACATTTTTATCCATTTACTTGGGGAACAGCAAGCAGTAGAATTACCTATCATGCTAGTCTAGGATGAAAAAACATTCATGTGCACCATTTTTTAGGGTTGGGGTTTTTTTTATTTAAAAGAGGAATTTCTTAAAGGAGTGAGAAAATAAGCAAAATTCCATAAACAACTCCCCAAACTCTACACACAGAAATTTTCCTTCTTCAGAAATATTAGAAGTGTGAAAAGTAAACAGGAGATCAGCATTAATCTTTCAGAATTTATCCATTTAGAATAGAAATGGGAAGAAGGTGGTCAGGAAAGTACTGCAGCATTAACATGAGCCTGTATTTGCCAGGAATTTTTAAAAACTAAAAACCCGAACCAGAAGTTGAAAGTTTTATAGCACTGATAGAATAGCTATACTTACATATCTAAGAAAAGGGGTAAAAAGTGAAAGACTTGCATAACAAGGCCAAAGACAAACTGCTGTGATGCACAAGTACTTAGGCAGATTTGCAATACCCTTTTTGCTTTCAGTACCTATGTTGCTGTGAACAACGAAAAGACTACTTTCTTTCCCTATTCAATCCATGACTTATAAAGCTTTTTCCACCCACCACCCCTCAAAAAAACCCCCAAAACGAACAAACTCAAACAAAAAAGGTCAAACAAAACAAACCCCCACCAAATCAAGGTTTCATTTCCCCATTTACAGCTGCTGAAATCGCTATTTAATTCTGAAATTTAACAAAACATTTTTCCAAGCAGAAATACTTTCCAAGATTTACCTTGACCGGTTTGTACTTCAGGGCAAACAATTGGGCTTTTACAACACAAAGTTAAAATGATGGATACCCAGGAGGATAATATTTAGAACTTAGCTCATGACAGAAAATAAAGGACTGTAAAAAAGACTGATCATGTCTGGATCTGCAGTACCATTTGTGCACTGCTCCAGGGGAACATTGCTAGCTGAATTCAAAGTTATCTTGAGAAGAACCAGCTTGTTCTAATATACTATGATGCAGGAAAGTAAATTCTACTACATCTCAGAGCTCTATCACTCAATAACAAACAAAAAAAATCCCACTGATTGAACCCAGTAAAGAGAAGGAAAGATGGGACATCAGTGACAACTTGTATGTTCACTTCAGCATGAAGAACCCACAGGATACTGAGTAACGAAGTAAACAGCAAAGCCACCGTAGCTGTCTTATCTTGGTCAAAATGAGAATTTAGTATTTGGAGTACAGAAAATTAAACCACCCACTTAGCATTAAAATATTAAAAATGGAATACTTTGGCAATTTAAATAGGAAAAAAGCCCAGTCTAAAAAGAACACTACTAAATAAATTCTGTAAATACTTTTATAGTATCACTGAAAGATACAGCACAAGTGTGACACAGGAACGTTTCTCAGAGATCTGTCTTTAGAATAATGACCAAAAACCCACTATACCTTAACGAGCCAGAAATGGCTGGGGAAGGAAAAAAAACCCAACAAAAAACCCCCAAAACAAAAACAAACCCCCCAAACCAACAAAAACCCAAACCCAAGCAAACAAACCAAAAAACAAACAAAAAAAAACCCAACAAAAAACCCCAAATGCAAGCAAACAAAAAACCCCAGACATTTAAGATAGCTCTAACTATGGTTAACACTTTAGCTTTTATTAAATGGTTTTAGGTTTTTTTAAAAATCATCTTAAAACACGTATGCACTGCAGATCATTTAAGCAATATTTAAGGTGATTATACCTGGACAGTTTTGCAAGTTGAAAAGACTTGCTCAACATTTTGGATTTCTGTAGGTTTTCATTTTTGTTTGTTTGTTTTTAAACTATGCCTTAGATAACACTTCACACTGGTTACATAACTGCTGTCCTCAGTTTTGTCTCAGGCCTACTATGCTGCATAATTACCAACACATCTCTAACATGGTGCAGGGTTTCTTTCCATATCAGAGAAAGGTTTTTGTATCTACAGTTATAAAGGTATTTTTTTCTTCCCCAGAAATGCCAGAAAATTGTGCTAGGGATTGTGGAGGGAGGAGAGAAAACCAAGGTCCAAAAGCAACAGCAATGGCAAGAGGAATCCTCTACCAACTCTGTTCATTCTCTAGCCATTTTGTGCAAATTTCAGCCTCAAAGAGCAAGCAGCAAAAGGAGCAAAACAAAGTGACAAGCTCTGTTCAAAGAAAAACAAAAACCTACTAAAAAAAGGTCAAGTTGGCATGATAACTCTTCCTCAACTTTAGAATTTTTTCCTAGCGGCATTCAAAACAACTGGGTCCTACCAAATCTTTGTGCAATACTATACATTACCTTTAAATATGATCCGTAGTATTTTGTTACATAAGGACTATCACACTGACTTAAAACAGTTATCTCTTGCTGTATATCTTCTATCTCATCTTCTGCTTCCTCAAGGTCTATGATTTTTATAGCAACCACTTGCTGTGTCCGATTATCAATTCCTTTAAAGACTTCACCAAAGGAGCCTTTCCCAATGCGTTCCAGTTTTGTGAATAGTTCTTCTGGGTCTGCTCTATGGTTCTAGAAAAAAGAAAAAAAGAAGAAGAAAAAAAAAAGATATATGAGTTATTTAATTTACTTCCAAGTTATTAGCCCTCATTACTTCCTAAGAAGCACATCATCCAGATTTATCATCAGTAGAAGGCTCACATCAGATAAATTTATTTCCTGCACACTAACTTCTAATTCAGCTATTAGTTACAGAACATACATTATGCAATTATGTCAAAGGTAAATGAGCCTCACCAGGTAGGGAATCAGGTACAAACTTCATTTCACTTCCCCACATAACAACTCTTTAAAACAAAAGAATAGCGCTGTTCTGAATATTAATCCTATCTGTGCAGTAATTCAGAAGACTGGGGAATGCAATTACTGGCACAGAAGCACTAACATCATCACCCAGGCAGAAAAGGCTGGGTTTTCTACCTGGCCAACAGCCTTGGGCAGACAAAGCATCCTATCAAGTAACACAGCGTGGAGCTATTTGTGAGAGGACTCCATTACCCAGTATTCACCGGCAGATTCTGAGATCTGATAAGATCAGGCGTCTTCAGGGCAGCTAAAAGTGCTGACAGAGAGTAGAGCAAAAGGGACAGAGATGTTCGAAGAAGGAATAAGAAGGCTGGAGCAGAGTACTGAGGTACTGATCAGAACTGGCTGGTATCACCCAAGCATGCCTTAAAAAGGGGAGCAGAGCACCAGGCAGCATAGCACTGCTGAGGACATCTGGCTTAGAGTCCCTGTTGATTCACTACTCTAAGTTCAGCAGACTGATTATTATACAAAGATTTTAAATTTCTCAGCTCCATTCAAGTAGTCACGAAGAAAACAAAAAGGAAGCAAATTCCCATTTTCCCTTCAAGATAAAGCATGCTGTGTGGCTGCTTAGAGAACCTTGTGTATCCAAAAAGCACAGCAGTGACTTCTGAAGGACACGGATGACTTGCTCCACAGTTTAAGAACACAAATCTTTAGACCATAGTAAGAAAGTATGCAGAAAAGTGTTTTTAGGAGGCAAGACAGACGTATTAACAGAACAGCCCACACTTTGCAGAACAACAGAATTAAATATATTATCGCTGTCAGAACTGGGCAACTCATTGCACAAATCAATCTTTAAACAAGAAACATCTGCCCAAAAAAGCCCTCTGATTCAATAGCAACATTTGAAAATATGACAGAGATGCTTTGTTTTAGATCTTTCTTGCACTCCAAAACTCAGAACCAGCAAAAGAAGTGACAGTTTTGGCAAAAGCGGACATTCAACCCAAGGCACAGATTACCCTACATAACAAAATACTCAAGTATTAACATGAAACTGCAGAAAACATCTTTACACCGGTGTTCTTGCAAATGGATGCAAAAATCTTTACTGGGAAAAAAATACATTACTACTTTAACATAGTCCAAAATGGACAATCTCATTTCCTTACTGGGCCCTTACTGTCACTTCTTCCCTTCTACCAGAACCAGAATTTATTCTACAATATGGTGAGATGAATCAGGAAACAGATTTAGCTAAGAGTTAACCATATGATTCGTCAGGTTTATTTTCAGCAGAATCAGTTCACTGCTCATATATACCAAGCTGTCATTTGTGCTATCACAAGAGGAGGGAACATGAAGTAGTATGGCAGATTCATGCTGATCTGTGGAGTTAGATTTTTAGATTTTGCAAATATACAAGACACACTGCTGTTCCTGCGCAGCACAGTAAAGCAAAAAGAATGAGTAATTTCCCCTTTGTCTACAATGAGCTTGTTGCTACTCTGCTCCATTAAAAAAAACCAAAACAAAAAACCAAAACACCCCCCCAAAACAAAAAAACAAAACCAAACCCCACACACAAAACAAAAAACCACACCACCTTCAGAGACATAATTAAGCAAAAAATTTTGTATTTTCTTCTGTTGATAGATCCAGTGAAAGACTTAAAAGATGAACAAATACATAATCAAAGCAAATGAAAAAAGACAGGATGAGTACTATTTTGATCTGAAATCTGGGACAACTAACATTATTATACTGGGAAAGAAAAAGATTGTAAGCCTCAGGTGCTCATAAAG